GTATAGTCTTAATAATAAAACGATAATCTCGGGAAAAATAAAAGAAACTTCCACTTTTACCCGGTGAACCCAACTCCAACAAAATATATTTACTTGCCAAAGAAACAAGATGATCAGCAGCATCGATGTGAAAAAGTTCTCGAAGACTACGAAACCCATGGAGCGTAATCTTTGATTAAAGTCATATTTAGCTGAAGGTGTGAGTTCGTTACCCGTTCTATATAAATATATATACGATGTGAATAATTTTTCAAAGCACTGAAGCTGTTCAATACTAATCTATTAGCTACAAAAGTTTCTTACATATCAAATGAAAATTTGTGTGCGACCTTGAATCAGCATCGATTACTCCTTTTTGTATCTTTGCATTACATCGAGATACCTTTTAAAAATTTTTAAACAAAATCAAAAAGAGTAGATTATATTTTAAAAAAGTAAATCATAATAATAAACTTACACCCACTTGTATACCCGTCAGCATATAAATATTAGATTCGTCTACCAAAAAAAATTAGGGTCAAAAATGTTGATTGTTATGGAAATGCAGTGATAATAAACCTCACCATTAGTAGTACCACCACCTATTTTTCGTATCAGTTGTCTTGTAAGAGTTATATCCTCCTCAAATGCAAAATTTAGTGCTTCCCCAAATGTCATCCAAAAAACTTTAATATCAGAACATCAACATAAATTATGCCATGTCCAACTTCTTTTGATGCCATTTTTATTTGGTTTTCCCAGTTCCAAATTCACCACAAATCATATGATAAGATGAATGATATTTGGTCGGTTGAAGAATTTCTTTGAGCTGATTTAGAATTATTGATCGAGGAATGAACTCATCTTCTGAAATATTAGTTATAAGTTTTGTGCCTTTTTCTATGGTTTTGATAAGTCGATTCTCATTATAAAGACTTCGACTACAAGCGAAACCGAAATCCAAAAACAACAAATAAGCTCATACTATAATGTGTAAGGGGGAGAAATAAACATAATCGGTATCAACTTCGGAAGAAGGTAACGAGATTGTAATTGGTACTGAAAAAAAGTAAAAATAAAAACAAAGGTGTAACGTCAAGAGTATAAATAAATAAAAATCTAAATATATTTTTTTTGTCATGTACTTGACGGTTAACAAAATGAAAAAAGGAAGACATTATTAGTAAATAAATCAATGGATTGAATTATGATGATTTATTTTGAGAGAATTTTTGAGAGTGTATTTATAAACTTTTCTTACATCGTGACCAATTAATAAGTCTGACTTTTAAAATCAATTTTAAGGATATAAAATCATTAAAAAATGATTTATCTTGCTTTATTTATTATGTACGATTGACCGTATTAATAGACATTTAACTTATCTGCGATTTTATTGGATGAATTTTGTCGCGTTCTGAAAATTACCTATTTTTTTACTATCAAAATGATTTTAAAATGATTAATATTTTAATTACTGCACGAGTTATTCCTTAAAATTGATTTTTAAGAGTCAATTTTATTATTGATCACGATGTAAGAAAAGTTTATAAATACGCCCTTAAAAACTCTCTCAAACTAAATCAACATAATTCAAACCATTGAATTCTTTACTAATAATGTCTTCCTTTTTTCATTTTGTTAACCGTCAATTACATGACAAAAAAAATATATTTCGATTTTTATTTATACTCTTGACGTTACACCTTTGTTTTTATTTTTACTTCTTTTCAGTACCAAATACAACCTCGTTACCTTCTCCCCACGCCTCTTCCGAAGATGATACCGATTATGATTATTTCTCCCCCTTACACATTA